TGCATGCCAAAAAGATTCAGAAGCCAAGCTGAAGGGATTCCCAATAGACAAATATAGAACAATTTAAACATCAAAAAGATTAATGACTACAATGGGTTAAACACATCAAATACAAAAATCTCTAGAGCACATGATGGCGCTCTAGAAGAAAAACAAAACACAAAACAAGTTCATTGCTCACCTTTGGAGGCTCTTACTGAAACAGCTTATTATTTTGAAAAGAGGGAAATATTGCAAAAGAATTAAATAGTTTCTTGCCATTCCTCTATTTACCATAACCTAATTAGTTGATGAGAGGAAGTTTTTTAATGGAAGAATTCCACCTAACAAATGCAAAAAATATGTATAGTAATAGGACACACCACTTTTACAATTGCTAATAAAATGCACCCCTACACAACAATCTTCAGAGGACGCAAAAAACTTGATGCGAAGGTGGATGTGAGATTTTATAATGGATGAATCAGTGTAACAACACTTGAATTCAGTGATCAGTCATAAAGTGACAAGATGAAAGACAACTAGACACAATGAGCCTCCTGGTGTAATACTACAGAAATGAACACCACCGCATATGAGATACTTTTGCCAAAAAATCTGAATTTGGTCAAGCCTCTAAATCTAATATAAATTTAAAGGGAGTAGAGTGACCAGAGGAATATAACAAAAAACACAATAAATATACAATCAGCAAAATCCACAATGCAAACTCCATAGTACAAAAGATCCAGATTCTTAAGCAAAAAAAAAAAAAAAAAAAAAGGAAGATGAGATGGTTCATTTTATGTGTTAATTTTTCTGGGCCACTGGGTGCCCAGACATTTGGTCAAACTTTATTCTGTGTATGTCTGTCCAGGTGTTTCTGGATGAGATAAGCATTTGAATGGTAGACTGAGTAAAGCATATTGTCCTCACTGATGTGGACAGGCCTCATCCAATCAATTGAAAACCTAAATAGGATGAAAAGGCTGAGTAAGAGGGAACTCCTCTGCCTGACTGCCTGACCTGGGACATAGGTCTTTTCCTACCTTCAGAAATGAAAGAAAAATTGGTTTGGGGACTGACACTTACACCATTGGATCTTCTGGTTCTCCAGCCTTCGCCCTGGGACTAAAACTACACCATAGGCTGTCCTGCGTCTACACCTTCCTAACTGCAGATTATAGGACTTCTCAGCTTCCACAATCCTGGGAACCTATCCTTGTAATAACGTATATCCTTCTCTTGGTTCTGCTTTTTGGAGAACCCTGAATAATATCAAAAGTTTTTTTAAAAATAAGAGAGATTTTCTTTAAATTAAAAGGGATTTAACACTTAAGGGAAATTCTAATTAAAACACCAATGAGATATCACCACACACCTACCAGAACAACAAAATGAAAAAGGTGGAAAAATAACAAGTGTTGTCAAGGATGTGGAACAAGTGGAACTCTCATATGCTGCTGGTGGGAATATAAATTGGAACAGTTACTTTGAAAAACTGCTTGCTAGTATGTACTGAGCCAAACGTATGTATAATTTATGACTCAGAAATGCCACCAATTGGTATATGCCCAAGAGAAATGAAAATAAATGTCCATCCAAAAGATATGAATAATATTCATATAACTATTCATAAGATGTCAAAAATTAGAAAAATACCCAAATCATAACAGATAAATATATTACAAACTATTCAAACAATATAATACTTTACAAGAATGAGAATGAAAAATCTACAACTATAAAAAATAATAAATGTTAATTTCACACACATTATGTTGATTGAAAGGAGCTAGACATAAAAAAGCACATATTGTATGATTCCAGGAATTTTTCTTCTAACCTTCCAATAAAGTTTGGAGGGAAAGAGAAAAATCAACACTCAATTTCCTTTAATTGAAGGTATTAGTAATATTTAGTATCCTTTTATGTTATCTGCAGCTTAACCTCAGAGAAGCAAAGCATGTTTCCTGTGAGCCCTTGGAAAGGGATTAACTACACATAAGAACAAAGACAAATACTATGTCTGATGGACAGGCAACTGGATGGGAATGATTCAGACAGGAATCCTAAATGGATGCTTAGTCTGCACCAAATTCCATAGCAGTCACTGAGTCACTATGGCAACCACGCCAGCCAAGGAAAGCAGATAAAAATACAAGAAACCATCATCCTGATTTGGTTCCTGACATGGGCAAGGAATTGAAAGGGACTGACATGATCACAGTAACTTCCCTAAAGTATTCCTCACAATATATACCCTCACAACTTCAGCAATACAAACATATATGTGTACATATATCCAAACCCACATATGCACATGCTTTATCCCTCTTCTCACTTACCACCAAAGAACCAGGATTCATTGAAGTGGATTTGCTAAGGTGTATAAAAGAAAAACACCACCATTCAACAGATCAAATTTGAACCATAAATATGAAGATGAAAATAACTATTTTTCAGTGATTGATTATTCTGGGGATGACATGTAGAACTGTCTCTAGGACTTTTTTTCCTCTTTTTCAGTGGGAAGATTCAGTTTTGTTAAGATGTCTATTCTCCACAAAAAATGTTCTGTACTTACCATAGAATCTCAATCAAAATGCTAGCACATTTTTCAGAAACTTACAAGTTGATACATTTATGTGAAAATGCAAAATATGTAGACTATGAAGATCACCTTTCGAAAAAAAGAACAAAGTTAAAGGACAAACACTACCTCTTTCAAAACTCATTATAAACCTACAGCAATTAGGACAGTGTGCTATTGGTATCAAGGTAGACATTAGATCAGTGGAACAGAATAAGCAATCCAGAAATAGACCCACACATACATGGACAACTGATATTTTTACAAAGGTGCAACAACAGTACAGAATGGAGAATCTTTTCAACAAATGGTGCTGGGACAAATGGATATCCATATGCACAAATATAAACTATGATCCATATATCACACCGTATACAAAAATTGACTCAGATGGATCAAAGACCTAAATAAAAACCTAAAACTATAAAACTTCCATATAACAAAAATAAAATTGTTTTGACCTTGAGTTGGGTAAATATTTATTAGATATGACAGAAAAAAACATAATCCATAAGTGAATAAATCAATAAATTGGAGTTTTTCGCAGTTAAAAACTTCTGCTCTTCCAAAATCACTTGTGAGAAAATGAAAATACGAGTTACTAATTGGGAAAAAATGTTTGCAAATTATATATCTGATTAAAGACTTATATACAGAATATGAAAAAACTCTCAAAAGTTAGTAAGAAGAAAACAGACACTCCAACAAATAAATTGGCAAAAGATATGAAGAAATGATTCACTAAACAAGACATAGAAATGGCAAATAAGAGCATAAACATATGGCCATCACCATCAGGGAAACATAAATTGAAACTACAATGAGATACCAATATAACTCTGTGATAATAGCTAAAATGAAAAAGACTGGTTATACCAAGCATTGGCAAGCTTGTGAAAGATGAAATTCTCATACACTGCTAGTGGAAACAAAAAAGGTGTGAGAACTTTGTAAAACAAGTTGTTAGTTTCTTACAACGTAATCGTACATTTACCATATGATTATATATGATTACGTGTATATATACAGTCATGGATTGCTTAACATGGAGATACATTATGAGAAATGGGTTATTAGGAGATATCATGATTGTGCAAACATCATAGAGTATACTTAACATAAACCTAGATGGTATAGCCTATTACATACCTAGGCTATATGGCATAGCCTATTGCTCCTAGGCTACAAACCTGTACAGCAGGTCACTGTACTGAATACTACAGGCAATTGTAACACAATGGTAAATATTTGTGTATCTAAACATAGGAAAGGTACAGCAAAATATGGTATTGTGAATAAAAGTTCTCTGAAAAGGAATTTGGAAGAAAGAGACTATTCCAGTTTGCACATGTGGAGAGGTAGCCTTTGGCATAAAAGGAAGGTGCATTCCAGAGAAGAAAGGGAGGGTTTAGCTTTTTATAAGTTCCTACACAAGTTTCCAGTCAGATTTATGCAAACGAAGGATTCAACTTGCTTAGTTCTGATTGGTCACTGCAGATGAGTTCTGATTGGTTGATACAACCAAGCCCTGATTGGTTGGTTCAGGTGAGCTCTGAAATCCCAAAGTTAAATAGAAGCGTGGATTTTTAAGGAACTCAGAGTATAGTGTGACTTCTAGTAAGCAAATGGCTACTTGGCTCTCTTTAAAATTTAGGCTCAAGGGCCGGGTGTGGCACTCTGGGAGGCTGAGGCAGGTGGATTTCTTCAGCTCAGGAGTTCAAGATGGGACTGAACAAGAACGAGATCTATTTCTACTAAAAATAGAAAAAAATTAGCCAGGGGTGGCAGCAGGTACCTGTAAGTCCCAGCTACTTGGCAGGAGGATTTCCTGAGCCTGGGAGTTCAAGGTTGCGGAGCGGTATGATGACACCACTGCACTCTTGCTGGGGTGACAGGGAGACTGTCTGAAAAAATTATATATATATAAAATAAATATATATTTACAAATATATTTATAAATAAATAAAGGATCAGTTACCCGCTTGGGATCCATCTTGAAGAATTGGCTCTTTCAGCTTCACGTTTGTTCACAGTATTATAATCTTATGGGACTACTGCTCCCTTGTTGACTGAAACATTAATTTGTAGCACATGAATGTACTTATATTTTCCAAATGGATCTGGTATCATAGTAAGCAAACCATTTCAAGAAAAGTTACTTTTGCCTAAACATACTTATTTTCATTTAACACATTGCCATGTGAGTTGTATTTAACTCAGGCTAGTTTTGAGCCCAAAGCCTTGTGAAGCATATGTAACTCACATGTCTTTTCACCTTGGGAGCCGTAAGAACTATTTTTCAAGTTGCATGTAACTCAAGCACAGAAAACAATAAAAAATAACATATTTTTCACTAAATTAGAAAGGATAGCTTTGTTTTCAAAGTTTTTATTCTATTCTCATAATAAAACACCATGGCCCCAAGGAAAAATATTTTTTTTCTACTGTGGCGGTCAATGTGTTCAAAAGAAAAAGGAAAATGGAGGTGCATCCCACCTGGTGGCCAGAGACAGGATTGCAGTTCTGAGAGTCTCAGGTCAGAGGGCTTAGCAAGGGAGGAGGGGCAGAATGAAGGTTGGGAGCTTGGCTCAAAAAAATAGCCAGGGTTTTTCATTTAAGAATTATTCACCTAATGATAGCAATCTCCCTCTATCCTTCATTTTCTGGGATATCTAAAACTGAGATTGATTTCAGCCCTGTCTGAATAGAAGATAAAGATGCACCTGTGACTGTGCATTTGGGATAGAGCTAGAGAAGACCCAAACATATATCCACAAGTAAATATCATGTCACTTCAATTTTTATCTACTTCTTTCACAAGGTAGAATTAATGCTTTTACAAATTAATGAATATATGTGCGCCTCACTTTTGTCAATCTGTTCATGAGTATTTTCTGTTTCAGTGTTTTATCAAAATATTTTTTCTTGAATACAAAATTTCAAACAATATGGAAAAAGCACAATTATGAATTGGAATTAACTTGCATCTCTCACCGGCTCAACTCCTACCCTTGATCCCAAGGGGTCTGTTGTCCATAGAATGGTGCATACTCTCCAAATGTGTTCCTGTAGGTGAGGTACACATGAACATGTTCACCTACACCCACATACAGTCTATTCCAAAGGTGGAATCACAGTATTCATCTTCTTTTGCAACTTGTCTTTTTCACTTAATATTTTACTTGGGATTTATATTAGCACCTTAGTTATTCTTCTTTTAGCATATTTAATGAGTTTATTGTTCATGTATATATTTATTTGAATTCTCTGTTGAAATTAGTTCCTAACCATTTTCTTACTGGGTATACCTCACAAATCATGGAAATTAACCCAGTGTCTGAGATGTACTTTGCAAATGTTTTCTCTTTTGTTTTAATACAATTTTTAGCATTATATTCATTTAGAATGTGTTTTACATTTCAAGAATGTGAATTAAAATAAGGATCATAAATTAAAAAGAAATACCCTTGATTAGAGAGCAGAATTCTTAAGAATTGAAAGAAAAAGAAAAAAACCAAATACCTTTGAAAAATACCTTAGGAGCATACACTGTTAGTATCGAGGGAGATTAGAGAATTCACAGCTGTGGAGGCCTCAAGATAAATTAGAAAAACATTTTAAGTAATTCTGGAGTTAGCTGCTCATCTGAAGAGAAGAAAGTTGTCTCCCTGATTTACATAAATTCTCCTAAATTTATCACCCTAATCTGAATAATGTACATAATGATGGATAACATGAATAGCTGCTAGGATTGAAGAGATGAAATGTAAAGTACATTGGCTTACAGTTGTTCAGGACATATTATTTTCCTTTCCTCTGGCTCACCTGTCTCAAGGGCAACACTTGAGCTTCTGCCTGAGCCCACTAACTCCTTTAGGGATCAGCCAACTCGTTGGGCCCTACACCCAGGTCTGTAGGCACAAAGGCTGGGATTACATCTCCTCTGTCATCTTCATCACCCAGAGGGGTGTTGAGTAAGGCCCTGTGGGGCCATGATAGCAGGGGAGCATGATCTGATTCTCAAGCCCTGGAAGTCCATCTTCTAAAAGGGAGGCTGGCTGGTCAGGATCCTCTAGGAAGGGTGAGGGGTGGAACCTCATTCCAATCCTGCCACTTATCTGGAGAAGTGACTTAGGCTCTATGAGCCTGAGTTTGGTCATCTGTGAAATGGGACTAACCATACCATCCTTACAGAACTGTCCTGAGGGGTAAATGAGAAAACCTGTCCAGAGTATATGGCATGGAGTGGGATTTCAATGGCCCTTAAAATGTAAAGACAAAGCAGCAGGGGCTGGCTGAGCCTCAGGGTTAAGGAAGCATTGTAAAAAGTCATTTCTCAATGTTTCTCCAGTTATGAGAATATTCCCATAAGAATATTCTCTATTCTTATGAGACTATAGACATGTAGACAAAGGAAGAAAGTATCTATCTGATATGCCGTGAGTTCAATGTTTTGGAGACAAAAGTTTTCCCTACTTTTTGGATATTTTCAGAAGCTCATAAGATCTGTTCAACATCATGCTTCTGAACAGACTCAAATCCAGTTCCCCACACAAGGAAGACAGGGTATATTTGAACTTATCTGGAGAGCTCCAGGAGAGATCACACCAAAGCAGCAAGGAGTGGTGTTTGCCTAATGGCTATTCCTGAACTTCCCAGTATGTTAATATATCTAAGTATGTTAATATATTTATAGGAAAATACTGTACCTGTACCACAGTGATCAGTACAGGGTCTTCAGGTCATCTATTATCCAGATTATTTTAACGATCTGCTGCCTCCCTGAGAGACAGAAATCCAAGAGTTACCAGCATTTCTTTGACACACAATTGTTTATTCTTTCATTAGCTAATAACTAAATAAATATTTATTGAGCTCAAAGCCCATACTATTTCACTGGAGGTGCCACATGAGCTCCAAAGTAGAAGTAATGGGTAAGAAGGGAAATGAATATATGGGCAACTTCAAGGTTTAAATCTGAGATGAGGTGGCTTATTCACATTAATTTTTTTTTTTTTGTTTTGTCCCATTTTACTGTTTGTTAAAATA